ATCATTAGACCTAACGAATGTGATTTTACTATATTACTCAATACTTTTTCCAATATAAACACACTCTTATCACCCTTACAATTATTAAATATCAAAAATGACTTTACAATAACCGAGAAAAGTTGCAAAACAAGCTTCTTCGAATCTTAAAATTTACTACAGACTTCGCCTTCGTAAATCGACTCTAGCACAGACGCTTACCTAATAGCATAATTCTCATCATAACTGACTACGTCATAAATCATCATATTACTATTTAATTATTCTACAACTACAGTTGAACGGTTTTTCTTATTATACAAAAGCAAGATGCTAGATGTTATTATATGTTGTACGAAAAGCAAAAATATATCGTACAATTTTGTATCATCTATAGTTGTTGCTGTTTCCATACATTCTAACATGTTTTATCAATTCAACCTGTTTGATCGGCTCCGTACATTGGTGGGCAATGTCGACATGCTTGGCAGAGTCAGCCAGCAACGCGATTAAGAGAGAAAGAAAAAGGAAGATATAGAGTCTTACATGTCCAACTCGTAGAAAATAAATATATACAGTTATCCGGAAAAGTTATTTGCAAGTATTTACTTTCTGGCATTGGCGGACAATTTTGTGCTCGAGCCCGTATGCTTCAACGAGCTAAAAATTTCCGTTTTGACGTACCACTAACATGCCAAAGATTTATCGATCGATAGATCGCTCGTCGAGCAACGGCCAGTCGCGGACGGCGTCGGCCTCACATCATCGTCCGCAACGGAACGCAGCCACCTTTGATTCCATGCGCTTTATTAAATCCAATACACTACTGCTTATTATACGAAGAAATAGTTTCTGAGATACACTAGAAAATTTTACCTACAAGATGTTCCATAAATATATTTCAAAATAAACATCTAAATAGGTGGATTCTGTCACACATGATCTAGCAAAATAGACATCGTCATAAGATCGTCAGTCCTAATACTGGACACGCACCTCCACTCTTTCCTATCCTGAGCTAATCTTCGCATTTCCCTAAAACTGGAACATCCCACGTCCTTAACTATTTGTGAACAGTAATCTAATCTAGGTCTACCTCTACCCCTCCTAACTCCCGTTTCTGCCTCTAATATGTCTCTGTCTAGACCTTCATGCCTGAGAAGGTGTCCTACCAATCTATCTCGCCTATTTTTTATTGACTTCCATAGAGTCCTCTGTTCTCCTATTCTTTCTAATACCTCTTCATTTCTTCGCCTGTAACACCACATTGCGAACGCTTCTAACCTTTTCTGTCCATGTTTTGCACCAGTACAGGTACAAATAGGTAAAGACAATCCTAAATTTTCCGTTACTAAATAGAATGCTCGTCCAAATCAGTTATAAACATATCCAAAAACCAATATCCATATCTATAGGTACATTATTAACTTTTGACTAATTTTTCATGATATATTTGTATGAGGATCTCAATAGAATATATGTATATGCAACCAACAATACACCCAAATAAAGACATTTAGACCTGCCCACTATTTTCCAATTGTTTATTTCCAACTACAATACACTAAAATGACCGATTCGACATCAATTCACATGGATATCTTTTAACTAGTTAGTTTTTGAATATAATACTGTAATAACATTACTAACAGAAAAACTTCAGAGATCTAAAGAATAATAGTTTATAAGAAGGGACCCAAACCGTGAAAATTTTAAACCGAACAGAATAAATGGTTCGATTAACGCAGTGTATTTATTTACGAGGCAATACAAGTTGCCCATTTCACCAATTAATATGTCAAAGTGCCTTCCAACACACTACAGATGATACATGCACCTGTTTTGAAATGGTTGTGTTAGACCATGCAGACGTATGTTCCACGGCAGATAACATGAATGCATACATTACGATGCATTTTAATCTCTAATTAGAAGATACAGGTGACATTTACAAATTACTATTGGCGGCGCAGAGGAGGAAAGCAATACATAACAAAATATTTCGAACCATATATTGAAGACCATTATTTTTATCCGTTTCTATACAAAAGAGAGCCTCTCGTTTAAAAGTGGGAGTCATTTTCGAAAAAATTCTTCCTACATTTTTTTCAGTGTGTAATAATTAGTTTATCTGGCCAAGAAAAAGAAGGAGCCCTACTGGTCCTACATTCTTCCAGGAATTCCTTAATTACTTATTTTTACAATATTTACTTTAAGTAGTACCAATTAATCGATCATCGATCAATAATCTACCTGTTTTACAAGCTGCATCGCTGGCATTGATGTCTTAAATACCTGTCAATGACCATAGACGACCACACAAAAAATTATTTTTTCCATCCCTCAGAAACGGTACTTTTGTGTCTACAAAGTTTCATGATACGTTTTACCCACATCTTCGCTCGGATTTATGTCCTAAATACCTTACAAAATAATCATCGACGACCACATAAAACTAATGCCAACAAAATAACTTAATTCGCTAAAGAATGATCTGTATCTTTTAAAATTTTTAAAATCAAATTCTGCAAGATTGAAGTTGAACATAATTAATTGAACTGTTTATCGAATTGAAATAAAACATTTGCTTGTTTTTCAAAAAGCCCCAGTAAAACACAATTTTTTCAAAAATCGGCCCCTACGTTTACGAACACCCTTTCTTTTTCCTATGAATATCTCATGGTTACTTAAGTTTATCGTTGTTCCGTCTTAATTTTGATTTTAAAATTAATTTATTTAGAAATTTAGATACATAAAATAGCTATATAATTACAATTTTAATCCTCGTTCTTTCAGTATTACATTTGTCAGACAAATAACTGTTTCGTTCTACTTTTACAACCAACTTATTCAAATATTCCGTATCTTTCTTCTATGACATCATTCTTAATGCACCGAATGTTTAGACAAAACCAAATAAAATCTTTACGATTTGAAATAAACAAATTCCAAGACATTCAAACATGCTTTTAAAACTTAGCCGATGAATGTCTCAACCAGTTACACTATCAGAAAAACCCAATTTGTCTTTCTTATTTACAATTATCCAGAAAATGTGGCTTAGCTAGTTCTTTATTGATTTAAAAAACACTCAAAAATGTAAATCAGTAGGCTCGTTGACATGTAACCCTTGAATGTAACACAGACGTCCTAGTTTCCAACTTATACAGGATGTATACGAGTAAGGCAAGGCGTTCACCGAACATAAAAATTACACATATCTTTGTACGCATTTTTTCTTATTATATCGCAAAAGCGAAAATGCATAATTTGACGAACGTGTAGAGTAAATACATTTTTTTAGCCACGTCTATCTGAAAATATCACCTGGTTCTCTGAAAACTAGCTTAAACTAACGCAACTTTCAAAATTTTTTGAAAGAATTTAAATTACAATAATTAGACGTATATTACTTTATTATTTATATGAAAAGATGGTTGCTACGTCGTATTTTTCAAAAGATAATGCCGGTGTTACTGTTTGAATGTAATAAAATATTTCTATATTCGATTCTCAACTAGTCATTAGTATATACAAAAATAAATAGCAATACAACCAAAATCACAAAAATTAATGAGTATCAGCAATAAAGAAAAACAACCAACTTTTGATGCGCAAATAAGTAGAGTAACAGAGTAGAAAAAGTTGATAAAGTTTAATGGGTACATATTATATGTTTCATCATAATATGTTCTTAAAGTACCAAATTCTGTAAGAATGCTGGACCCCTCTGGCATCTCAAAGATACACCACTGGAATTTATTTATTAATATTGTCGTAAACGATTAGGCAACCAGTTCATACTGCCTTCCCCTTCCCCTGTGTTAACCTCCTAAATAAGTCAAATAATTATGAGAAATATACTTAATTAACCTGTAGTCAACTAAAATAACGACACAGGGACAAAAGGCACATTACGAATTTTAATAGCAATTCAAGATTATTTATACAATCAAAATCAAATGATAGATACCATTATACAAAAGAAGCCGGCCATGCCTTACTTACCAGCCACGAAATTGTCTTCATCACAACACTTGTACGACTTTAAAGTACCTCACGATTTCGCCCGTATTCACTAATGTTTATAAAGTTATTATTTTATTGGCGATCGAGCATAATTTTACCGATTTTTGAGGATAATATTCGCGACCAAACGTTGAATCTATACTAGCATGTAGTTTACACCTAAAACAATAGATAAAAAGTAAATGACATATTATATTATTTATCAGTGATATAACCACAACTGGATAAATCCATAATTTTCAACAAAATTGAAAGCTTCCACAATTGAAATGAATTAAGTAGTTTAGTATATTATTTAAAATCATAAAAGGCTGTAACTGTATGAATTATAAGAGCATTTGTTTAAGAAATCCGACTTATTTACTTTCATTTAATAAGCTGAGATACACTAATTACTAAGCAATGAATGTTCATATAGGCCTTGTATTGAGAAAATTGTTCAATTAGAAATAATATGCCTATAATTTTAATTCATTTAAGAATAATAATAAAAGTTTTTCAGTCATAAAATATATCATATTATAACAATTACTAATTAAAAATTGAAATAACTGATTAATTATGCGAATAGCTAGAATAAACACATCGTTTAATTATTATTATAGTAAAGTAAAAGCAAAAATAAAACCTTTTTTAAAAAAACGAACTACATAAAACGATCTGAATGTACCTTAGATTGTAATAACTAATAACTATCTATAGTTTAATCTTTAATAACAGAAATAGATATAGGACGCATAGAATGAAACATAGATATAGGATGTATAAAATGAAACATAGATAAAGGATGCATAGAATGAAGCATAGATATAGGATACATCGAATGAAACATAGATATACGATGCATAGAATGAAACCGCATGGAAAGAGTATTGCATAGTGGGTTGTCTAAAGAATTTTTATTAATTTTTTCAAAAATAAAATATTAAAACAAAAATACCTAATTTCACTAATACAACTGAAACAGTCCTACTATCCTATAATTTAATTTNTCAGCATTTAGAAATAAATTGGAAGACCAATCAGAAAGTGCAAAATATTTTCAGGTAAACAAATAATTTGTGCTTCATGACAAAATTTTCAATAAATGTTTTTATGTCTGATAAATATTTCGGTTTTTATTTTTAGACAAGAATAGGTCGATATATCGTAAAAAAATATCGGCCAAACGCCACGTCTGATGAAATAAAGAGTGGAAAAAATATAACATTTCGCGAATTCTCGCAATATTTAATAAGAGAAGGTGTCACAAATGAATTGGCAAATGAGCACTGGATGCCAGTTAATGATCTTTGTCAACCCTGTCTTATAAATTATACTTTGGAAATTTAACTCGCAATTACTTTTAAGCTTAAATAATTTTAAACAGATTAGTAAACAAATTGAGAAGCTTATTGTTTCCAAGAATTTATTTGTCTTCGGATTTCTTCTTAAACCAGGCATCAAGCGTACCAGAATTCTTTCTTCTGAAAAAACTCGAACATACTTAAAATTAAAAAATAATAATTTCATAAACCTACTTAACGCTCATTCTTTCAATGCATCTTTTATCTTCGCATTTCGAATTATTCACAAATTGCTTATCCACAGCGTGATACCGCAGAACAATACTTGATTTATTTTCATTAGATTTATACTCCTTAATGAAATTATAGATTTCCTTAGGTTCTTCATCAGAAACGTCGAGCCATTTCTAAAACGTAAATAACTTATACAATAAATTGCATACAAATTTGCTTAAGTTGCTTGTTTAAAACGAACTCATCTAATCTAGAAATCAAATTATTGAGAGTATATCAATGTTTCATAATATTTAAGTTAAAAAATTACAAATAAGCACCTCAACATCATCAAAGTCATTCAGAGCAAGAGGCATTCGATGATGGCACCAAGATACTGCTTCATCTGAATCTTTCGTAATAATAGAGCATGTATATCTAATATTAGAACCCTGAAATTAAAAGTTTTTTATTTTATGATAAATTCAAATACTGAAAAATTATTTAGCATAAAACCAAATTTATAATATTATAAAATTAACTTACGGAAACGTCCCTGACAGCATTGAATATCCCTGCCAAATAGACCATAGGCTTAGAAGGACGATTTTTGGGGCTACTCTTAGAAGTCTGCAAAAAATCACTGGTTAATACAAATCAATTAAAAAATATATAATGACTTCAACATATTCATTGTAAAAGAAGTACGGTTGATGACTTGAAGATTTCTGGGTGGTCTGCCATTCATAATAGCCCTCACAAACTACAATACAGCGACGACCCTCCATAAATTCCTTTTTGTAAATTTTTGACAGCATTAGTGTTTCAATTCTAGCATTGTGTGTGTGAAATTGAGATTTTCTTTCATCAGTACTCTAAAACAGCATGATATATGTGCTAAATTTATAACAACTGTACAATTAAACATAAAACCTACCCAAATGGGAATCATGCCCCATCTCATGGGTACTAATAAATATTCAGTATGAGTTTCTGATTCAAAGTGGCTATTATCAGCTAATGCACATACTGTGCCTGCTGGCGAGATATTGTACGAAGGAACGTAAGTATAACAACTGTTTTCTATCCATTTTGGCTCTTCAGAAGATTTTGAGTCTCTTTTTTTATAAACACAAGACTTTGAAATACAATCAGGATCAAGAGAACTGGATAAATAAAAAAATAAATTAATAAACTCACGTATTCTATAAACACAAGGTAATACCATGCTAATCTTCCACACATAATTTTAAATTAATAATAACTTTTATTTAATTCAACTTCAGATTTAAAAATTTAAATAAGATAACCTTTAAGTGTAATATGTAAAGTCTGCTACTGTCTCCATATACGTTAGCAGCTTGTTAGAGTAAAGTAGGTAACGAGATTTTTATTATTAGGTATTTATTCAAGTGAAATATTTTTCGTTACCTATTTGTGGTGTAATTAATCTTAAAATATTTTTAAAGAATTAGTATGCAGGAGATATTACAACCACTGCATCTGATTATCGTTTCTATGAAGTTCAATATTATTTAAACCCTCATATCTATGCTTTTAACCGTTAAAAATTTCATTAAATACCTAAAAGAAAGTGGTGGTAAAGTGCGTTTGTCCTATTATATAAAGTAAGTTGCTTGAAGCGATATTTTAACATGCAAAATTATAGCAGTTAATCTTTGACCCCTTTTCCTTGAAATGTATTTCAATGATTCGGTTGCTTCATTAACTAACTACGTTTAATGTATTTTTTGCTGTAGCATGACAGAATCATCAAATTTAGAAGAAGAAATTGAAAAACTAAGTCATGAAGACCGTTTAGAAATAACACAAAGTTCTCTTAGAAGATTAATAGCAGCGGATCCTCTCCTTCAAGACTTACCAGGAGATGTAACAACGGAAGAAGTATTGTCACAAATAGCTGTTGCACAAGGTCAGAGTATTACAGTAACTATTTTACGGCATTCTGAAACTCCACTACTTGTAGTAGTAAGTATAGAGAGTCCTTTATTTATTTATGATTAGTTAAATTACTTACAACTTTACCATATCAATATAATTATTTACTTAAAGATACCACAAAAGGGAACTACAGTTCTTGATCTAAAGAAAGCAATACAAAGATGTTTTACTCTTAAACAACAGAGACTTAAAAGCAAAACAAAGATATCCTGGAAATACATATGGAAAACATATTGTCTACAGCATGAATCCCAGATAATGAAGAATGACAATGAAATGGTATCACAATATGGTGTTAGAAATAAATCCGAAATCAAGTTTGTTAAGAGATTGAGAAAAGATAGTAGATACCACCAAACAGTCTAGTTATAATAATGAAATTACCATCTGAAAGTATAACATGTTTGTACTTAAAGTTATTTTGGGACATTTTGTTGTTAGTTTATGTGAGTTTAATTTTTCAAATTACTTAATGTAATTTCATTTTCATGCATATTTGTAGCTTTTGGGGTCAAGATAGCATGGCTTGAGCAAATTGCTAGGCAGGAAGTTCTATTAAAAGGATGCACTGCAAATTTTTATGAAAAGAATAAACAGAATTTAAATATTACAAGTCTGGATCATATTTTAGTGGATAAAAAACATAAATTAATTTATTGTTATGTTCCAAAGGTAAGCAAGTTTTATTGGATAAGGTTAATTAATCAGTTTTGGTAAACACTCGAACTAATTTGTGATGTTTACTTCGTTTAGTGGGTGTTCATTTATTTGATATCCCAGTACACATTTCATTATGTTGTAGGTGGGTTGTACAAATTGGAAAAGGGTGTTTATGGTTTTGACTGATAAATCTAATGCCACAAATTTGTGGGATATTCCTGCAAATATTGCTCATGCCAATAGCTCTACTTTAAAAATTTCTAATTTACCTAAATTAGAAGCCCTATCTTATCTAAACAATTTTACAAGCTTTTTAATGGTAAGACATCCATTTGAACGTTTACTGTCAGCATTTAGAAATAAATTGGAAGACCAATCAGAAAGTGCAAAATATTTTCAGGTAAACAAATAATTTGTGCTTCATGACAAAATTTTCAATAAATGTTTTTATGTCTGATAAATATTTCGGTTTTTATTTTTAGACAAGAATAGGTCGATATATCGTAAAAAAATATCGGCCAAACGCCACGTCTGATGAAATAAAGAGTGGAAAAAATATAACATTTCGCGAATTCGCGCAATATTTAATAAGAGAAGGTGTCACAAATGAATTGGCAAATGAGCACTGGATGCCAGTTAATGATCTTTGTCAACCCTGTCTTATAAATTATACTTTTATTGGTAAATATGAATGGTTTGAAGAGGACACTAGAACTGTTCTCGACATGGTTGGTGCTCCTTACATTGATTTTCCCGTTTCTAAACCTAATTACACTCGTGACAAGTTAAGGTTTTATTTTCAACAACTTTCTCTGTCTGAAATCGAAGATTTGTACAATTTGTATAAGCTTGATTTTAAACTTTTTGGATATGACTTGAATCCTATTTTAGGATTCGAGATTGGATGAGTTATCTTAAAATTTAATTGTCTTCTTAACCCAGGTCACCCATTGGGTTGAGTATGAGTAATGATTTATGGTGCTACTAATTTAAATAATTAACCATTGAAGTACAAATTTTTAACTAGTGGCAGTGTATTTTTTTTATGTTGCACTAGTTCATAACAAAATTTTTCAACCTTTTTAAATCAAATTTTAGTATGTTTATTAAAGCCATATTAAATCTAGTTAAAAAATAGTGTGTAAGTTAGTTTTAGCAAATTTTTTATTTTTTTACCATCATTACGTATATTTGAACTATATCTGCAAATAAATTATTGTTCTAAACCATATATTATTTTATTTTGTTTTTAATCCATTTTTTACTAAACGAAACATTGGTTCTATTTCTGGGGCGCCTGCCTTGATCCAAGATTTTTTGTGGTTTTGTTGGATTATTTAGACAGGTTAATAATGGACAGTAACATTAGTCATTCACTTCTATAAAGTATATTCCTAAATCTAAAACAATTTTTATTTAATAATTAACATATCTTACGTTACATAGGTAAATGTAATTTGTTTAAATTGCAGGTTCATTTCTTGATAATCTGTGGCTGATAATCAAGTTTTGCTACTTTGGCGAATGACTCAGCATATAAATCCAATCGACGAGTCGTCTTAAAAGAAAAGAGTAATTCAATTTATTAACAAAGACTTTTAGAGTTATACTCGTAGTTATCCCGTTATTACCTGAAATCCCCAAAAATCTCTAGCTCTTCTACACATATTTAAATCGAATTCGGTAATTAAAATACCATCCCTAGTTCTTGATAAACCCTGTAAAGAAATATTAGTAAGTTTATTAATATTCGCACATACAGGGTGATCAGCGAAATTCGTATAATCATATCAATTTACTGCTAAGTGTAGTTACAGATGTAATTAAAATGGAAAAACATACTGGAGTTCGTGTCCCATCTGGTGCAGTGACATAAGTTGATCCGTATAAATGACCAAACTTTTCTTTCGGAAATTTTTCTGTTCCAACCCTGTTAATGGCACAAGTGAAAAAGCTGTTGTTCATAGCAGCACAACGGGATTCTATATTCCAGAGTAATTCACTTTCAGCCCCAGCCTTAAAAAATACAATAACGTCATTATATTGTGTTTAAATAAAAATAATAACCACATACCTCCACAGAAGGGTTAAAAACAATTTCAGCTCCGTTAATCCCAAACATCATCCAGTTAAGGGGATGATGGCGACCATGGGAAATATTAATTGCAATCCTTCCAAAATCAGTCTGATTTTATAAAATGGCAAATTCATTAAAAAGTTTCTTTACATGTGAATATTGTTTACCTGAAATACAGGGTGACCAGTATTCCCTTCATTATAATATGTAGACTCGTTGAATCCCGTAACCCTTGAAATGTGGTTTTTACGATGCTTGCCCAAAACATCCCCATGATTGTCAATCACCACAGCTGTATTCCAAACAGTGTCGTTATGAAGTTCATCCCTTTCCAAAATCGGCGATATGATAACCATGTTGTATTTTTTGGCCAGCTAACAAAATGAATTGCCTTTGTACTTTTTTTGTAATACAAAATGATGAAAGAAATTTACCTCTTTTAGGAACTCAGTTGTTGGGCCACTTTCGGCAGGTTCAGCATATTCGCACCAAGGATACTTTTCACCAGTGCAAAGAAAGAAAGGAGACGCTAAAATGATATTTTTTTATACTGGGTGACCTTTACTGGTTAGTTTAATGATTAAAGCAACGTTAGCTTTATCTTTATCAAAGGCTTTTAAATTAAAGCTATAGGAATTCTACATTCATTCAAAAAGAATACGGAACGAGCGGTCATACGGCTCATGCGTGGGGGGTGAAGAGTGACTAAACGCGCTCCATAAAAATACAACAAAAAGTATAGGAATAATTTGAAGTTAGACTCCTAAGACAATAGTTTTTTGATAATTTGTCACTAATATGATAACCTAGACGTTAATGGACCATCAAATTTCTAAGTTAAATTCATGCATCACAAATCATACTTTTCATTAATTTATTGGATAAATAAAAAACTTACTCCATAATTCTTGAAGACAAAATATATTAACGTTTACTTGAGAGGCAATTTCAATAGCTTCTGCAGCCCTGTCGTGGATTGCCTTTCGCATTTCGATAATAGGGGTGGATGTAGGTAATGGAAGGGTAATTTGTAAGGCAGCTAGCCTGATCAATCTAGGTGTTCGAACTTGTTCAGGGGCACTAAGAAATTTATAACTTGCTAGTTCAAATCTTAAATTCCTAACTTGTTGAACAATAGTGGTAGGTAATTTTAGTACCCTGAAACAACAAATTCCTTAAAGCTTCCCTTAAATCTCAATTTACGATTTTTTCCCTGAAATGTTCAATTTTATTTTATTTGATCAGCCTATTACTTACTCGTAATTAGTTCCATATAGTAACTGTTTTATTTGTTGCTGATCTTCTATATTCAATTTTCTTATGATATCATCAATGTGTGGTAACTGTCTTCTCTTGTAATTTTCTTCTTTTAGATGTATATTATCTGCTACTGAGATAGGAACCTTGTAACAAAAATAATTTATTTAATAATTTATCGTGATTACATACAGTTTGCGTTATAATTTTAATAATTCCCGGTCGATGCAATACTTTATTAATACATCTACAAGACTATTAATTCAAATTTAAATTCTGTAACAATGAAGTTACTTTACTGCGTTGCGATTGGTTAAGTAAAAAATAACAGGTTATATATACTTGCTGTTTTTTTTTAATGAAGGTATAGTAACGTTAATGAAGTTACTTTTCAAAATAAAACTATTACTATCTTAAACGATTAACATTAAGTAATGGATAAATATCAAATGATCTTATATATTTCATTGGCGCTTACTAAACTTGGTACTTCAATTGGATCCATGAGGGATGAAAAAGTAGAACCAGGTAATTCGACCGTCACATACTGGTGATCCTGATCAGGGGCCTCGACATATACTTCGAAGGTAGAATTGGGAAGAGGAGAACGGGAAGGAGAACGAGATCGATTTTCTTCCTTATTAATTTCTTCTTCATCTTTTAATATTACATTTGGATGTTTTCTTTTTAAATGTTTATGCAAGTTGGTTGTGGTAGAATTGTAACAAAGCTCTTTTTTGCAAATTTTACAAATTGCTACTTTACTATTATTTGATTTTTGAATAAAGATATTCCAGAGGGGTGACCTTTTTCTATTACGATGTACTTTACGCTAAAAACAAAATTTAAGTTTTGTAATCGTTATATAATATTCGTTACGTTATAATCGTTATCGCTATTTAGTAATCGTTAGTTTTATGTTACAAGAAACTACCTGTTCGAGTATTTCACACTTTTCTTCGTCTAATTCTTGAATATCTTCAGTAGTAATATCAGAAGAAGGATCGTTTTGATGTTCTTGTATTTGCTCTGGATCATAGCGTATCACATTATCCAATATTTGAACTGTTGGGTGTTTTTTCAAAAGATGTTTCTTCAAATTAGATATCGATGTCTTGTAACTAAATAGTTGTCTACAAATATCACATCTAGCCAAATTTTTAACTTGATCTTCAATTGTAAAGATCTTCCACAATACACTGCTTCGTCTACTCATTTTTATTAAATATTTTTTAAACGCAAACTAAAAATAGAATGTACCTGATATTGAATCACTTTACAAAGAATCCGTTCTTTTGGAGGAACTGAACTCGTGTAGTAGATACGAATACTACTCTAATAGTGTAAATATGACAGTTCCCAAAGCTTAATACCTTTTGCCGTAGTTATTAACGACTAAAATATCGAAGAAAACGGATAGTTAATCACTAATTAACATTTTTCACTATTTACCGAAAAATAACAAAGTAGAAATTAACAGTTCTTTTTAAATCACAAGCTCTGTTACGCTTTTGTTGATCACTTAATATTTACTTATTCGTGATCAAAATAACACTTCAACGGCAGGTATAGCATAGAACTGATTCGTTTTGGGAACGTTAACCAAACGTGAACTGTTCCGTACAACTCACAATATGGAGGGGTTCAGATGATTTTCATTTCTAAATAATAGCAGTTAGAATATGTTATCTTATTAATGAGTTTTTATACAAATCTCCACAAATTAATTACAAAAAACATTGGCAAATATAACTTTGAGTAAAATACCTGTTATTTATTAACGTATTTTATTACAAAGAAAATTGTTATAGTAGATATAGTAATAGAGTATTTTTTCACATAATTTTCAATTACTTTTTACGCATATTAAAAAAAAACACAATGAGCAACTAAATCACTATTTACCGAAAAATAGCTAAGTAGAAATTAACTGTTCTTTTCCTAATCACATATTATCTTGTTAGCTTTAAGGGGGTTCGGTAAGTAATGATTTTAATTTCTGAGCAGTAGCATGGTTAGAAAATGTTATTTTAACCATATTTTAATGAGTTAACAACATATTGCACAAACATCTCCACAAATGTTGTTATATGAAAAGCATTCGCGAATGTACATTTAAATACAATCACTGTTAAATAAAAACGGTACCTGTTATAGAGAAAATTGTTATACAGTTAATAACGATTCGTTCCTTTTCAAAAAAAAGAAAAACTAAAACAATGAAGACATTAAAAAATCGTTTATTAAGGATCTAGAAGAAACTAAACAATAATTACTCACAATAATGTATATAATTCTGACTTTTGAGATAATAATAAACATATTTGTTGATGTTTATTTCTTAATAACTTGTGGCTGATAATTCAACTCCAAAGATTTTGTAAATGATTCAGCATAAAGATCCATACGTCGGGTCATCTGGAAAATAAAAAGAGTTACATAACAAATCAATTATTATTAAACAGTTTTTCATTTTTTTTATCACCTGAAAACCCCATACGTCTCTAGCTTGTCTGCAAAAATTCAGGTCGAATTCAGTTATCAGAATTCCATCATTAATTCTTGATAAACCCTTTAACATAAAAAAGATTTATTAACAATATATGTGTACATTTCAAAATAAAGATATAATTTTATGTTTTGAAAAAACAGGTAAGTAGAAAATTTTAAAAGTATTAAAAATCTTTACCGGTGTCCTTGTTCCATCTGGCGCAGTCACGTACGTCGAACCGTACAAATGTCCAAAGTCTTTATGTGGTGGATTGCCATCCCCTGACGAAAATTCGTTGGGGTAAACTTCTGTCCCAACTCTGTTAATTGCACAGGTGAAGTAATTGTTGGCAATTGCAGCGCAGCGGGGTTCCACAGACCAAAGTAGTTCACTTTCAGGACCAGCCTTTAAAAACACACATTATGTATTACAAAGAATTTGAGCGCAAATTAACACTAGAGGGTGATCTCTCGATATTACTTACTTCCACCGAAGGGTTAAAGACGATTTCAGCCCCATTGATTCCAAACATCATCCAATTAAGAGGATGGTGGCGGCCGTAACAAATATTAATTGCAATTTTTCCAAATTCCGTCTAACAAAAAATACGTAAAAAGTATTAAACATTTACAATTACAATTTCTGTATGTTTCCTCGTTGCTTTTCAATTTAATCGTAAACCAGATTAATAAGAACAGTATAACTTCTTGGTCACTAAGTTATCGAAACTACTGATTTTGATCTTATTAGATCTCATCAGCACGCCACGTGCAGTCTCGATAAATTACCGACCAATCTAAAAGCAAGTTTTCGCTTGTTTTATATCTTATTTTATAAATAAAATGTTATGGTCGAATTTTATTCCAAAATCCTTTGGAAAGTTGGAAATGCGGTTTACCTGGAATACAGGATGACCAGTGTTTCCTTCAAAGTAATAAGTAGACTCATTGTAATCAGTTACTCGCGGTATGTGATTTTTTCTATGCTTGCCCAGCACGTCTCCATGATTATCGATCACAACTGCAGTATTCCATACGATATCATTGTGATCCTCATCCCTCTCTAAGATGGGTGAAACAATCACAATGTTGTGCTTTTTGGCATGCTAATTAAAATCATTGAACATTAGTAGCAATACAAGATTTCAACTAAATTACGCGTTTCGATATCCAAGGTGTCAGTATCATCTTGTCTCTAAAACAGGATAATATCCCTGGTATCGAAACGCTTTTTAAGTTTTTTGAACATTTTCATGTATAATTTTGGATTTTAGTGTTTAATTATATTATAACGAGTTAAATAAGTACTCATATTAATTCAATTGTTCAGATTAATTTATTTTTTAACGAGTAAAAGAATAATTTTGAGGTTTTACGTAACAATAACGAAAACTTAATGCAACGAGCTGCACTCTCAAATGCATCGAGAGTGACTAACGCAAGTATGCAAGTTTTATTATTATGAACCGGTTAGATGCATCTGATTGGCTGTTACGTCGGCGGCCATTCTGTCGATCGACTGAAACTAGGTCAATGTCATGCACCTGCTCTTTATAGTATGCGGAAGTAAACAATAATAAGCGCCACTTACCTACAAGAATAGTAGAAAAACTAAAAAAGGGATTACTTAGCTATTTCTTATCCGATTTAGATGCGGTTTTTAGCTAACATTAAAAAATTTAAAGTTACGTATCACTTATAAGGAATCGGTGATATTAATTGACAAACATCCGATTAAAAGTATTATTTTACTTTTTATTGTAAGTCTATATTCGCCATTTATCAATTAAAAGGATCTCATGTAAAATAAATAGTTGAGGCATAACAACTAGTGATTTTTAAAATTTTCAACTTAACGTTTGATTTAATGTTATCTTTTTTATGTTTTATAAGTATATACTTATTGTTTTTCATATTATTTTCAATTACTTTTTACGCATATTAAGAAAAACACAATGAGAAACTTAATCACTATTTACCGAAAAATAGCAAAGTAGAAATTAACTGTTCTTTTCCTAATCACATATTATGTTAATAGCTTTAAGGGGGTTCGGTAAGTAATGATTTTAATTTCTGAGCAGTAGCATGGTTAGAAAATGTTATTTTAACCATATTTTAATGAGTTAACAACATATTGCACAAACATCTCCACAAATGTTGTTATATGAAAAGCATTCGCGAATGTACATTTAAATACAATCACTGTTAAATAATAACGGTACCTGTTATAGAGAAAATTGTTATACAGTTAATAACGATTCGTTCCTTTTCAAAAAAAAGAAAAACTAAAACAATGAAGACATTAAAAAATCGTTTATTAAGGATCTAGAAGAAACTAAACAATAATTACTCACAATAATGTATATAATTCTGACTTTTGAGATAATAATAAACATATTTGTTGATGTTTATTTCTTAATAACTTGTGGCTGATAATTCAACTCCAATGATTTTTTAAATGATTCAGCATAAAGATCCATACGTCGGGTCATCTGGAAAATAAAAAGAGTTACATAACAAATCAATTATTATTAAACAGTTTTTCATTTTTTTTATCACCTGAAAACCCCATACGTCTCTAGCTTGTCTGCAAAAATTCAGGTCGAATTCAGTTATCAGAATTCCATCATTAATTCTTGATAAACCCTTTAACATAAAAAAGATTTATTAACAATATATGTGTACATTTCAAANATTGGATAAATAAAAAACTTACTCCATAATTCTTGAAAACAAACAATGTTTACATTTGCTTTAGATGCAATATCGAGTGCTTGAGCAGCCTTTTTGTGGATGGCTGCTCTCAGTTCTACGATGGGGGTAGTTGTAGGCAATGGAAGGGTTGTTTGTAAAGCAGCTAGTCTAACAATCCTAGGTTTTCGCACTTGTTCAGGTTTATTAAGAATTTTGTAACTTGCTAGTTCAAAATTTTGTTCTTTCGCTTTTTCTACCACATCCTTTGGTAACACTAGGGATCTAAAACGTTTATGATAATTCATATTGTGACCTTTACGTTATTGAAATTAAATTTGACAATATTTGCTGCATAAAAAAATTAAAAAAAAACTTTTTCTTCACTATTACAAATACAGCAATATTATATCATAATCATCATCAATGTATTAGTGAATTAATTATTGAATTAATTTTACCCACTACATATAACCTTAAATAAATGAGGAAAAATTATTGCTACCGTCACGCCCTTGCCGGGAATCGAACCCAGGCTTCTGGTTTTACGCACCAGTACTCCACTACTATCGGGTTCCATTCCCGGCAAGGGACTGACAATATTAACAGTTTTTTCTCATTATCAGTAATGGATAAAATTAATTCAAAAATTAATTCATTAATACATTGAATTAACGCCATAAAAGTATCAACCTATCTAGCCTATTTCTTATATTGACCATAAAAGTTATGTCACAAACTTACTCGTAATTTCTTCCATACAGCAAGTGTCTAACTTGCTGCTGATCTTCGATACTCAATTTGGCAAAAATATCATCGATACTTGATAACTGATTCTTTTCAGCCATTTCTTCTTTTTCCCTTGGTAGATTTTCTTTTTTTCGATTCTAGATTGTCAATTATTTTCAGCTTAAGATTTCTTCAAATGCTTGCTATTACAAACACTAATCTCGAAGCGTAATATGGATTGAATATTTATTAAACTTGTTTTGAAGCAACGTGATGACCCTTCATCAAAAATAACTAATGGTAACGATAAACTATGATAATGGCGAATTAATGTGGTGCTGGTTTGTTTGTTGTCAAAACAATGTGTTAGTTATAAGTAATTTAATATTTGCGATAAAGATGCTTTTGTTTAACAATTTTTTTAATTATATTAACTGATATATAACGCCACTGTAAATTAAAACGCAAACTCGTTCAACTTTATCTACCATCATAAATTTATACCGATTATTATACTAATTAATACGTGTGTGCTTTTATATAAGAAGAAGGGAACAGGGGAACGAGAAGGATAACGTATGCTATTACGTTTTACATTATAATTTTTTATTTTTGTAATTAAATACAAATCGCGTACTTACTACCTATCTTAAGTCTATACATGTAATGTTACCTGTAAAATGTGACTGGATTTAAATAACATAACAATCTAGTGCAATTCATGTTGATAATCTACTTCATTAATAATTTATAGAAAACGTTCTCGATCTACACCCACTTTGTCGTTTGAAATTTAAATGCAAAAACAAGTTGCGATAAACCTAAATTAAGTCTGATGATAATGACTGTCTTTAATTGAATATTCGCATTAAATATTGCGTAATTTTGTTAATCTTGTATATGTAACTGTCCAATAAAGATGGATTTTGATTTAATTCCTTTTATTGGTTCAGCCTTAATAATCCAATTTTGCACTGCATAGCAAATTTTTTTTTTATTACAACACTTAATAAAAAAGATACTGAATTTATTGTATTCGAGCGTATGATGTGAAATACTTAAACATAAAATGAGTTCCAATCCCGAGAACACTAAAAATGTTTTTGTGATGGGATGATCAAAATCATTTAAAATACTTTTTATTATCAAAACATATATATATTTATTGACTTTTGAGAAATTCAGTTATACATTTTCTTTTGTTATAATATTTTTTGTTGCCTTGATGCATTGTTTATTTTCTGACAATTTGGGGTACGTAATCAACTTTGGTAGCTTTGGTCAAACGCTCGGCATACATCTCAAGTCGTCTATCCATTTGGAAACACCAGAAATCTTTCACTTGTCTACACATGTTGAGGTCAAATTCAGTTATGAGAAGTCCCTCATTAACTCGGGAGAGTGCCTAGAAAAAGATGTTTAAATAATAAATATTAATAACTATGTGTAATTCTTCTTCAAAGCAGTGCAATTATATAAGTAAATGTAATTGTATACTCTTTTTAAAATAAATATTAAGTTAATTACCGGAGTTCTAGTTCCATCTGGAGCAGTTAGGTAAGTACTTCCATAGCAATGTCCGAAATCCTTATGTGCTGGTTTACCATCTCCAGAAGTGAACTCGTTTGGATAAACTTCAGTGCCAACTCTGTTTATTGCACAGGTAAAGTAACTGTTAGCAGCTGCAGCACATCTTGGTTCAATGGGCCAAATAACTTCACTGAAGTCTCCAGCCTTTCAAGGAAATAAAAAGTTAAGTAAATCATTTACGAACAATTTTTCAAAGATTGAGAGGAGTGAGAAAAATGAATGCCAAAAAGAAACTTGGAATGTGCTTAAGATTTAAAAAAGAAAACGATTTTTTTAAAATTAGCATCACGTACTTCTACTGAAGGATTAAAGACCAATTCAGCACCATTTAGTCCATACATCAACCAATTAAGAACGTGATGACGACCATAACAAATGTTGATGGCGATCTTTCCAAATTCAGTCTGCAAGAGGATGATACTGTAATATTTAAACTTTTCAATTAAAACAGATTCTTATACCTCAAAAACTTCGTGACCGGTATTCCCCTCGAAGTAATACGTTGATTCGTTGAAGTCTTCATTTCTGGGGATGTGGTTTTTACGGTGTTTTCCCAAAACGTCCCCGTGATTGTCAATTACAACGGCAGTGTTCCAAATTACGTCGGAATGGACCTCGTCTCTTTCCAAAATTGGAGATACAATAACCATGTTATTCTTTCTGGCAAGCTAGCAAAGGAAAAATTGTGCGATACTTTATTGTTGATTAAGGTGCTGTATTACCAAATCAATAAGTTGCAAAAGAAATAAGTCTTACCACTTGAAGGAACTTCGTGGTGGGTCCATTTTCAGCTGGCTCGGCAAATTCGCACCAGGGTTGCTTTTCACGAGTACAGAAGAAGTAGGGCATAGCTAAAAGTTAAGTATTTTGTTGTAGTTTAGGAAAAGATAACTCTAGAGTTATATAAAAGGTAGATACGGATGGATACTTTTAAAGTTTTAAAAATTAAATTCATTTTTTTTTTCAAATATGGTCGTAGAAAACCTCAAAATTTGACTTACTCCATAGTTCCTGGAGGCAGAAGATGTTAACTTTAGCTTTGGCAGCAAGTTCGATGGCTTCTTCTGCTCGCTTCCATATTGCGGCCCGCATTTCAATTACAGGGGCAGTTGTGGGGAGAGGAAGTTTTGTTTGCAGAGCAGCCATCCTCACAACCCTCGCTTTACGGACTTGCTCAGGGGTACTTATGATCCTGTAGCTTCCAATTTCGAATTGCATTTTTTTTGCAAAGTTCATTACAGTTTCGGGAAGTTCCAAAGGTCTAACAAAAAAGGTAGATTGTATTAAAAGAATTAAAAGTAAGAAATCCAAGATGTACTTACTCATAGTTGCTTCCATAAAGCAACTTCTTCATACTAGTTTGGTCCTCAAGGGACAATTTAGACATGATTTCGTCGATGCTTACAACTTCCTTGGTTTCTTTCTTGGTTTCAGACATTTTGGTAATAATAGGATTGTGATAAGTACTTAGGGTATTGATGATGTTCTTTTTTAAGAAACTTTTGAAAGGTTCCGTTGTTTATCGGGGATGAAATGAGGCTAGGTTTGTTTTGGTGTAAGTAACAAAAGCTTTTGTTGCTGTTTCATAAATTGCTTCCCGCTTATATACTAAAATTGTGCAGGAACGACTGAAGGAATTATTGATAGCTGTATCATTTTATGATAACACTAAACAAAATTTGTACATATGAAAAATTATTTGCCTTAACAATTAACAGCCTTAAGTTATATACGAGAAACAGTCAAAAAGTATTGCCTATTTGTTTTGTTAAAACTGCATTCTTACAAGAAAGTAGATTTATTTCTTGGGAAATAGATTTTTGAAAAGTGAAAGGGGGAAAGTCATTCGTTTGTAACTACGCCAATAATTGTAGTATTACGTCATTAATGTCTTCTGTGAACAACCCCTGTATAAAAATTCATATGTAATTCAATATGTACCTTAATATGTAAATGAGTACACGGAATATATAAATAAAGTTCCTGAAAAATATAAATATGTAAGATCTAAGGTCGTTAAGGTTAATCAGTGTCGTTATTGTTATCATAAAGAGACTTAGACGTACATTACAAAATCTACAAATTAATATTTATTTATATTCGTGTTTATAATACTATAACATACAAGAGATTATTGTTTATATAATTATTACAGCGATGTTTAATGAAATAAAAAAATAATGAAATGAAGCACCTGAAATTCGCAGTAATTTTTTTATTTGTCTGCAAGTGTTCAAATTACAGTTTACAACCAATACACTACTGTTAATCTTTGACAGACCCTGAAATTTGAAAGTTTGTTGGGCGCATAAAAAAGGCAGAACACAATAAGCTGTGGAAACTGTGGAAATTGATTTTTTAACATTTTCTCATTAAAATGTAGTATCAACGACCTACTTTAAGTATAATCATTTGATTTTCTTAACACTTTTTCAAAGTATCGATAACAGTATAATTATAATATTTCTTTCTTTTTGGTTAAAGAATTAATTTTATATTGTTTACCATTAACAAATCCAAACATAGAAAATCCTAATGGAAGAAACTTTTCTCTCAAATCTGAGTTTTCATTTTACATTACTTTTATTTTTGAAAACATCTAAAAGAACCAAAAGTAAGCCGAGAGTCCTCTACAAGCTTGTATATAGGTATGTAAATTTTACTAAACTCTATTTTCCGTATTCAAAATGCATAGATAAAAAGTGAAATACCATTTAAATTTCAACCCTTTAATTCTATCATGAAAATAAAAATATTTTAAAAAATCAACAGCTTTATCAACTGAACCAATCCTCCAAGTCACTTAGTTAATCAACAATGTGTTTATTTTTTGCTCTGGTGTTAAAAAACATATTATTTTAGACGTTCGCCCTATTATCAGGGATTCTTTCGGAACAAACACATTTTTCACAGATAAAGTTTGAAACAATCATGTAAAGATTCAATCACTCTTAAGAAGTAAACAAGAATTATTGTTTATTCTTAGATGAGACTCTGGTCTCATCAAAACAATTATTAATTGTCTTTCTTTAAATATACTTTATCAAATTTTAGTTGAATTTTTGTTTGGTTATTTAAAACTGTTTCATCAAGAACGTACCACAATCAACCTAAGTGATAAATTTTGGATGTAATTTATAATGGGCATAAGGGAGTTTGGGAGAGTTCCCCCTAGGCCCCCCCACAATACAAGGCCCCTGCATGCCTAAATATAACCTTTTTAACCCAATAACCCCGGAAATTATAACCTTCAACACATCTCATTTACATGGGCCTCGATCTTATATTTTTTGTTTAAGTCTTCATGAGTTTTTTTAACGCCTTTACCCGGTAAAATTTTAATTCATTTGCTTACGTTAGCTTTTTTTTAAGACTTAAGGCCCTTTGACTCCTAGAATTCGCGGACCCTTTCATAGTCCCAGGCCGCCCCTGCAATGTATAGAAAAAGAATATGGAATTTATATAATTGTTTCGATTGATTTTCGATATATTATCTTTTATTATTAATGCATATATATTTTGTCTTAGATAGCTTCAAAATCGAAAATTGTTACATAAATCCATTTGCTAGTATTTATTTATGCATTGATTGTAAAAAGCAATAATAAACATGATACCAATGTTATTGAACCGTCCGAAGCCATCATGTAACTAGACCCACAAAAGCGTCCAAAATCATTATGATGGGTAGTTTTTTTCATTTCCAACCCTGTTTTCGTTTTCATGTTGTCAAGAAAAAGTATATTAAAGACAAATGTTTCATGAACACAGTTTTTTAATAAAAATAATAGTAGCTATTACAATATTTTAATGTTTTAATAATCGTAAATTCAAATGAATGTAAAACTATTCACACCACGCACAACCAGCGCTTAAAAACTTCGTGACCGGTATTCCCCTCGAAGTAATACGTTGATTCGTTGAAGTCTTCATTTCTGGGGATGTGGTTTTTACGGTGTTTTCCCAAAACGTCCCCGTGATTGTCAATTACAACGGCAGTGTTCCAAATTACGTCGGAATGGACCTCGTCTCTTTCCAAAATTGGAGATACAATAACCATGTTATTCTTTCTGGCAAGCTAGCAAAGGAAGAATTGTGCGATACTTTATTGTTGATTAAGGTGCGTTATTATCAAATCAATAAGTTGCAAAAGAAATAAGTCTTACCACTTGAAGGAACTTCGTGGTGGGTCCATTTTCAGCTGGCTCGGCAAATTCGCACCACGGTTGCTTTTCACGAGTACAGAAGAAGTAGGGCATTGCTAAAAGTTAAGTATTTTGTAGTAGTTTAGGAAAAGCTTACACTGGAGTTGTGTAAAAAGGTAGAGCCAAGGTGCAAATTAAGACCAATACCTTGGTTTTCGTTCTACAGATCAGTCTTAGCCTTTGAAAAAATCAACAGCAAGATTCATCTTTCTTATCACTTCATTTTTGGAAAAGTTTAAATGCTAGAATGCCAAAACTTAAAAACGTGATAGATATTATGTACTTTTTCAAGGTAATCATTAAATGAACAAAATACGGACGGATAATTTTAAAGTTGCAAAAATTAAATTCATTTTTTTTTTCAAATATGGTCGTAGAAAACCTCAAAATTTGACTTACTCCATAGTTCCTGGAGGCAGAAGATGTTAACTTTAGCTTTGGCAGCAAGTTCGATGGCTTCTTCTGCTCGCTTCCATATTGCGGCCCGCATTTCAATTACAGGGGCAGTTGTGGGGAGAGGAAGTTTTGTTTGCAGAGCAGCCATCCTCACAACCCTCGCTTTACGGACTTGCTCAGGGGTACTTATGATCCTGTAGCTTCCAATTTCGAATTGCATTTTTTTTGCAAAGTTCATTACAGTTTCGGGAAGTTCCAAAGGTCTAACAAAAAAGGTAGATTGTATTAAAAGAATTAAAAGTAAGAAATCCAAGATGTACTTACTCATAGTTGCTTCCATAAAGCAACTTCTTCATACTAGTTTGGTCCTCAAGGGACAATTTAGACATGATTTCGTCGATGCTTACAACTTCCTTGGTTTCTTTCTTGGTTTCAGCCATTTTGGTAATAATAGGATTGTGATAAGTACTTAGGGATGTATTGATGATGTTCCTTTTTAAGAAATTTTTGAAAGGTTCCGTTGTTTATCGGGGGTGAAAAGAGGCTAGGTTTGTTTTGGTGTAAGTAACAAAAGCTTTTGTTGCTGTTTCATAAATTGCTTCCCGCTTATATAGTAAAATTGTGCAGGGACGTCTGAAGAAATTATTGATAGCTGTATCATTTTATGATAACACTAAACAAAATTTGTACATAAGAAAAATTATTTGCCTTCAACAGGCATTTAGGTGTACCTTAAATAATATTACGAGGAATAGTCAAAAAGTATTTGCATCGCTTATTCTTCTTTTCTTTTGTTAAATCTGCATTCTTATAATAAGAAAATTATAACATTAAATAACAGAAAATCCACAAATAATACCGTAGCATTCAACATTGAAACGTAGCAAAACGTTTTCGTACTCACTTTTATTTATTTCTTGCAAAATAAGTTTTTGAAAATTGGAAGGACCCATAGAACACGTAAATAAAATTACTAATTTCTAATTATATGGGGAATTACGACTTTATTATTAATTTTCTGGTTTTGTCCAACAAAATTTTACGTTATCTATGAACAACCCTTGTATGGCAATTCGTATGTAATATAATATGTACCTTCCAGTGTAAATGCATGAGTACACATAAAATATATA